CAGTGTCAGAAGTTGTTGACTTGAGCCTTTCACAGCTCAGCATATTAATATGGCTTTACTTTTAAGACCTTGTTTTTATACTTTTCTGTTGGATGGTTAAGACCAAGATGAAGCAAGACCTATACAACAAGAAATGTAACTTTTGTATCTGATAAGGTCAGGGTTTCAGGGTAAATCCTGAGGGGATTTGACTGAGCTTGTCCATTTTTGCTTTTTTTGCTCATCTTTTCCTTTCCTTTCCTCCTCCCTCCTCTGTTCATTTGACAGTGTTCTTTTTCAGAGTTGTGGCACTTCTGCTTTAGATAACATCATTTTCTTAAATCCCTATCCTGACATTTAGAAGGTTTGTGCAAGTATTGCTATAACACTGAAAATAGATGTGATGATCTGTATTCTCATGTCCTACCTTACTAAAATATATCTACAAATCCAAACAAGATATGTATTATTTTACATCCATATTCCATTCCTCCATAAAATTTTAAATTTTCCTGAGTAATAATATATTAAATCTAGGCCACATTAATTTATCATAGTAAAAGGTTAATGATCATTTTCAGTTCAGAGTTTTGATTGAAAATAACATCTCAAGAGAATTAAGACTCGGTGCATTAATTAGTTTACTCACTAAATTCATAATTTAAGTAAGCATATTAAGGTATCAAAGCATTCGAAGCACAATAGTTTGGGGTTAGGATGTATGCAGAATTAGGAGAATTTAAGGACTGACTGTTTCAACCATATAAAATACAGAGCATAAGAAAGGCCTTGTAATATAATGGGGGAGCGTACTCTCTGGACAAGATCTTAAGCTTTTCATGGAGCACACATTCTGTGCTGATCATCGATATCATCATGGGCTGTGAGATAGAGAACAAGGAATATGAAAACAAGGATGACCCAAAAGACACCATCAAAAATAAGCCTTAAGTGACAATGGATCTGTAGACATACTTTGGTACTATTTCAAGGATTTGAGAGAGCTCTATTGTTACAAGGGAAGAATTGTGTAGTTACTGGGTGAGATAAAATAGAACATATATTGAAAATACTTTACATAACGGATTTTGTTCCTAAAGTGAGGGAAATACTTTTTAACTAGGATATGGTTCAAGGTGTTTTTCTATTTTGACAGAAAACCATGGAATAAAACCACCACTGAAGATTTTGGAACGCATAGGCAAAGAATATATTACTGGTTTTTTGGAAGACATAGTGCAGAAGAATGTGCTGAAGTTAGACGAAGAGGCCAAGAGAAAATTTATGGAAGCCGAACGTAGAGACAAGGCGAGAGTGTTTGTTGATTCCATCCGACAGAAACCACAAGAGGCAGGTCAAGCATTTCTCCAAGCCTTCTTTAATCTGGACAAACATACCAGCAATGCAAAAGGTAAGACTAGTGTCACTTAGAAGAAGTACCTTAACATTTCCAAAATCTGTTCAAATCCCAATCTCCTCAACATTATTCTGTAATATGAGCAATCATCCCATTAATAAAAGTAGCCTTTTTATAAAGAAATACTGCTCTTTTAAAAGCAAGATAATCTTTTGTGGGTTGAGATCCAGTTTCCTTGGGCTTGGGGTGATCCTAGAAACAGCTAATCGGAGAAATCTTGTAGATAGAAGTCCTCAGCCTAGATTCTATCACCTAATGAATTTTGTGACTTCAAATTTCTTAACCTTTCAATCATGATTTTTAGCATTTGTCAACGGTCAAGAATTGTAGTATTTATTCAGTGTGATTTTCTGTGCTACAAACTCCTAAAACATTAGCTTGTGTTCAAAGCTTTCTCCCCAGAATTCCAGCATCATTTAGCTCAGCTGTAGATTCAATATTTTTGTTGAACTATTCCCTTGGGTTTGTAAAAAAAAAAAATGTATAATCAAAAACTTGTTCCTACAGTTGAAACACTCCAATTTTATTACCTTTCCATGTCAGTGAAAAGAAACACTTATACCTACCATGCTTTTTCTTGTCAAATTCGTCACTGATTGTCCAACACATAATAGCATCTCATTAATATAAGATGACTAAGCTAATGATTTTCCATGATAAATATTAATAATAATCACTACACATGTGCTAAGATTTAGACTTTTAAGTTAAAATCAGGAAAATTCCTATACAATGTCTAAAGTTCTGTAAATTTTAGCAATTTTGACCCAAATTAAATTCTAAATATACTACCAATAGTCGAAATGATCTCAGATGCAAATTCACTATATAAACACTCAATTTTATTTTATTTTTTTATGTATTTAGTTCAGGGTCTACAGGGTGTACAGGGTCTCACTGCACAGTTTGCACTGTAGTGATCCTTCTGTTTTCAGCCACCCAAGCACTGAGATTACAGGTGTGCACCGCCACACCACATCTCTAAACATTCAATTTTTAAAACACCTTAAACAAATCTGGCCTTAGCGCTTACCAGTAATGATAAATGGTAATGAACAAAGGGCCACACAAATTTTTGAGGCTGCACTACATCAAACATTCTTCTCCAGCAGCCGTTACTCGTGGACAAGCGGTGTTCTGAGCAGCAGGACACACATGCAAGCTTGGTAACCATCGGGGCTGCCTCCTCAGCTGTGTTCTCCTTTGCATTTGCCCCAGTCACTTTGCAGGTTCACTGCTGTGCTTCAAATCTGAGAAGACTAGATAAGAATCCCAGTGTTTACAAATCAAAGGTAGTGCAGCAGTTGGGAATCAGAATTGAAGAAGACACTCAGATTGATTTCAGAAACAGAAGGAGTCACAAGAAGGTTTAAACTCCAAACTGAACCTGTATGCTCAGTGTAGGCTGTATTAGGAAAAAGGCCCGTGTACACTTTCATAAGAGCTCCAGAAGCCCCTGTACCATATTTCGATTCAAGTCACAAGCCTGATCTGAGGACACTTTGGGTAAAAGGACATGGAAAACCAGGACATTGTGAGAGTTTAGATACTGAAATACGGAAAGACTGGCCATGGGGGAATAGAGACAATGGATCCTGTTCAAGCACTCATTTAATTTGTTAATTATTCAGACACAAATACTTCAACACCTATGTACCAAGGAACATGACTGTTTCTTATGCTATATTAATGCCTTCATTTGCTGTCAATGATGAGAGATATGGAACATTTCATAAGACAAAAAATTAAAACTTTTGGCTATATTTATAATTTCTTCATTTCTATTGAACTCACAGTAGTAGTCTCTTAGGGAAGCAGTCTGCACTATGCTTTGCACTATATTGTCATGAAAAAATTTAACGGTATGGCATTTTGTTATTAGATATAAGATCATTATTAGATATAATAGTTTTATCAGAAAACTATTTATGTTTGGGCACCAAGGATCACTGGATGATCATTAGATCAAAAAGTTTTCCATACTTGTAAATAAATCAGTAAGTGCAGAAAATTTGGGCTAAAGAAACACATAACTTGCCCGAGTAATATGCCAGGAAATTATGGGTCATCGTAGCTGAATTTTACGAAATAGGAAGGGAGAGTATGGGTTACCCCCTCCTCCATGAAAATATTCCCAAGACGTGTGATGCTTTTATGTACTCTTGTAACTGACTGCATCTTGAGCATGTAGGGCCCTATAATATGTTTAAAAGACATATATTTAAAAACACTTAGATAAAAATAAATAAAATGGGAACACAGAAATATTATACATACATAAACATTAAACGTATAAACATTACAGGAACATAATGATTTTCTCATTTAAGTAATACAAAGCCAGAGAACATCTTGGTTGACTCAGCTAACTGAACAGAATAACGGTACTGTCCATCCCGTTCATCGGTAGAAATGTGTTCTGTTGTCTCTCAGTATACTTTACTTTTTATTATTTATTATTATTATTTCTTTTTGTATTTTTAGGGAAGATCTATAGGGTGTTCAGGGTCTCATTACTAGATCGGACTCATGGTGATCCGCTTGTTTACAGCCTCCCTAGAGCTGGGATTACAGGCACCTGCCACCACGCCCCGTCTCAATCACCATCTCAGCGCGCCCTGAGGTCGGGGCCAGCACAGCAAGACCAGGGATTGAACCCCTGTCCTATGCACCTGCTTGCAGGTGCTTTAATCCAAAAATCAACAGTTACAGTACCGGGGCTTGAACTCAGGACCCTGCACTTGCCAGGCAGGTGCTTATTCTACTGAGCTGTCTCCCCAGCTCTCCACACACTTTTAATTGTTGCTTATATATTCCTCTTCTTTTTCCTTTGCAAGTAAGGGCTCAATTGCTTCCCAGTAGTTTGGCAATCTCTGTCCGCTGAGGCTGACAATATCAGATAGAGTGGCAGACTTCTAGGACATTCATCAGGATGCCTTGGACGTAGATTTATCCTGAAGGGATCAATAATCTTCTCCACATTTGAAAATAGCTTTTAAAAACCTGGTGCTAGTTGCTCAGCACTCTGTAGACAAGATATCCAGAGTGTATCAGAACTAAAAAACTTTGTCCCTTTGACCCTGTGTACAGTAGTATTATTACTAGGTTATGTTTCTTTATTAAATAGCAGATTTAACTTCATAAGGAATGATTAAGCCCATTTTCGCTAGAAAATGTTAAATTTAGATTAAGCTGCCTGAAAAAATAATATGCAGAGGATACAAAACTCAAGATTTTCAGTGTTTCTTGTATGTTTTGCATGTGCAGTATGCATTAGGGGTGTTAGCCATACAGAGTGTGTTACTAATCAATAGGAAGGACACTGGCCACATACAGGGTTCAATTGTAGCAGGTAACATGGTAAAATATTCATGTTAGGATTATATTAAATTAAAGCTTATCATTAAAATTAATGTTCCCTGTTTAGTTTAGAATGAATCTTTTATTTTGATTTATTTTGTATTTTAAAGACTAAAAATTGGTAAAAATAGGTGCCGGGGAGATAAGTGCTTGCCATATCTTACAGTGCGACAGTCCCATAAGGTATTGAACTCAGGGGCTGGGGAGATGGCTTAGTAGAATAAGCTCTTCCCTGGTGAGCGCAAGGATCTGAGTTCAATCCCCAGTTCTGCCAAAAAAAAAAAAAAAAAAAGATATTGAACTCAGGCACAAGAGCCTGAGTTCAATCCCCAGTTCTGCCATAAAAAGAATATAAATTAGTAAAAATAAAAAGTATTAAAAATGATGCAAAAATGAAATAAAGTAATAAGAATTCAATGATGATTGCTGTCGCACAACATTATATTCAAATTAGTTGTTTAGTTGACCAGATAGAAACTTGCAGTAAAACTGGTTAAGAAACAAAACAGAACAACAGCAAAGAACAAAGTTACAAGAAGTTGAAAAGAAGCAAATAAGAATAAAAACAAAAACCAACTGTAAGCACCAACTGCTCCTTTCAAAAGACCAGTGGAAATCAGGAGTACAGTTATTCCTGCCTATTTTAACTTTATAAATATAGGCAGAGATTTCAAATTAC